ATAGTGTGAGGGAGTGAAAATGAAACGGTGAGTGAGAGCAAGGAAGGGCAGACAGGAGGGAAGTTATGGTAGGGTGGTGGGAAATAAGAATGGGTAAGAAGGGACAGATCGAGGGTGACTGTGGGGTCAAAGGTAAAAGGTGGAATGAGGTAAATTCAACCGTGTCAAATCAGCAGCTGGGTAAGTGTTGCACTCACGACTGTTTGTAGACATTTGAAGGGGTTAATTGGTCACCATTTCCATTCGATGATAGATTACCGATCAGAGGAAATCACATTCATCAACATAATGGATTCCTGGGGTGTAAAGAAATGACAGAAATGAAACAAATTAACAGTCTGTTTAGACTACGGATTCATTATCAAGGTGAATTTAAAGGGTTGCTTATGGTTTAGCTGGAATTGAATGATCCTCGTTGGCATTTGAAACTTATTGGTCATGAAAATGCGGCAACTTAAACTTCTGTGATTGAAATAGAGGTCCAAGCACGATCTAAACAGATTTAACGAGTTAATGCTTCTGCAGGTCTGAGAAGAACTGGTCATCACCATATTGGACTGTCAGCGGTATGGTTCTAAAAGCTGCATCGGCGGATACGAGCGCTTCAAGCCAAGAAAAAGTGACCTGTGAGAATAGCTCCTCAATCACGTGGTTACGAATGGACTCATCATCGTATGACGGGAAAATCATTCGCGTTCCACATAGAAATGCAACCCACAGCCAGGGGTATTGATCTCCACGGATAAGCGTTTTACCGATCATAAAATAACTATTCAGATTACGAACTGTCATTTTAGAGCAGACAATTGAGGCCGGACTCCGACGTTGTCCGAGGTGAATGATTTTTAATTCATATCCCTTCTCTCTCGAATGTGTATTCATGTCAGTTAGTCATTCCTTTACTTTTAATTTGCAAATGCTCAAAAGCTTTGCTTTTTAATTTCACACCAGTGTGTGATAAGCCGCACAAGTGGTGGATTGCACAGTCACACGAATATCTTGCTTGGTAAGAGGTGTGAATTGCATAAAATATGTTGTTGTTGATGGTGGTGGTACAGCGAAGTGGAATATTGATCATATTGACCAATATGATCACACCTGCCTTCTGTGGGTACAACGGAGTATGAAGATAAACATGATTGATAGTAGCCATTACAAAATCACTACAAAATACCAAAACGTTTCCCTACATCAATTATCCAACCTTCTGTTCCCAGTTTTCCTCACAATAATTCGAAGTTTCCTACCGTATGGTTTCTGTATTCCCTTTGATACCATGTTATGTTTCCCACTAAGGGCTTTGACACCATGTGCAACTAGAAGCATTGGCTCACCAATCTACCACAACATCAATATGAAGGTATGCGAACCCTGACCAGGTGACTGGGTCATATAGGTCGCGTTAGGCTCCCTGGAAGGGGACCTGAGGATCAGTGTAACCGATCGTGGGAGAAACTGATTGATGTATGATCGAGTGCTGCAAAACAGTAGCGCTCGTGCTATCTTCTCCTACAGACATTTCCCCATTTTCTCTTTCACACCGCTCTCGATCCTCCAACATTGCCTCTATTGTTTTATCCATAGGTGCATAAGTGCTCTCAGATACAGGTGTCAGTTGTGATTCCATCCTATGTAGAACTTCATCTGTACACGTTCACTCACATTCACACACTCTCTGTTCACAGGTCTCCCTTTAATACGACTGCTGTGTCCGATCGTAAACGAAGACGAGGGGTGAGTTTATTTATTTTCGTTTACAAAGATCAGTGAAGTTGGGGTCTGTTTGACTGTGTTAATGTATGAGGACTTATTTTTGGTCTCCAGAGAGAATGTTTAAAAGTGTTCATGTTTTGATGAGCTAATGGCTGTATCTCACTACCTGGTTGATGAACATACAAAGAGTAAATGACAGTTACGAGGATATAATGTCAACACGAAACACAGTACACAATATCCCGTATCGTCACGAATGGCTACGGGCAGTTCAAGTTAAATCAAGTCAAATGTACTTTGTTGGATCATCACACTTCCAGTATTTTATCGACAGAAACTTTTGTCAAAGAACAATTGTACAGAAGTGGGAAAATCGAATGAAGTGACCGTATTCAAACAAGTTTCTGTTTGAAATCATCATTTCTCTGTTCTCAAAAAGTCAATAGGCCTTACATGAGAAATAGAATTACTATAAGTAGTGGTGCTGCTAGAAAACGGTCTTAATTTGTTATCAATCACTGATGTGAACTTGGGGCAAGTAGGATGCTGGTGAGAACTGTCAACCAGTCAGGTTCTACACCATCGGTTACGAGATAAAATGAACTTTCACTGCAAAATTTAACAAAAAATGCATGGAAGATGACCCTATTCCTGAAGATACATTTCAAAGAGTGTTTGACAAAAAATCTCCAAATCCCGGATAAGTATGAATGGATGAGGGATGAGATGGATAGTCGGAAAGGGTGTTCAACAAAATCCCGGAAAAATCAGTGAACAGCAATAGGAATAAAGAGATAATGAACAGAAAAAAAATTCAATCTAACTAACACATGCGAAGGAACTTTGAGAGAAGGTAGTCTACATCGCTGGCGTTCTCACTATGAAGAAAGTCCCCTTAGTATGATGCGTTCATCTGAGGTCGTTGGTGAGCAATACACCAAAATGATCAGAATGTTGCTCTCGGTCAACAGATGAGCCAGCAATGGATTGAATGCGACAGGATACTTGCCTAAAAAATTGTTTGATATTACCATCCACTGTCCAGGATGACCATTGCGCTCTAATTTGGTTTTGTCTTTTTGAAAACATTCATGCAGGTTATTGAAAAACGCCGCAGAGATCGAATTAACAGCAGTTTACACGATCTGAAACGTCTCGTCCCGGACAACGTCCACAAACCTGTAAGTTTTGTTGGAGAGTGACGTTTCTAGGCCTGTTTATTGCTTGTCATGCAGATTCGTTTTCGTGTTCATCTTTGTTCGTCCGTGTAGCACTCTTCACCCTATAAAACCGGTGCCCTCTCCCCACTCGCTTCACATTTGTGAAATGCAGTTGGAGAAACACGATTTTATGTAACTGATACGATCATTCGATAAGGTTTTACAGATTAGTTGTCACGTGCGCAACTGAAGATCAATGATAGTTGCCTCGTGTGACCTGTCCAGCACATGCACGGTTTTAAGCACACATACAATAGTGTCAACGATTGTTGACAAGGTTGCGCCAATTCTCTGTGTCCCATTCGAACGACTTACCGCGAACTGACATAAGTGTTACACTCGGATTCTTTTCCCCGGGAAAATAGGAGTAGAGGACGCAGCAGACATGTGTTCATCTATCTTGCACAACCACGGGTTTTGTGATTAAAATGTTGCAGGCATTTGAATAGGCCAGGTAATCTGCTGGCCATCAGGTTCGGTTCAGTCGGTCGTTCTGTTTGCACAGTGGGACTCGTTACCTTCAACTAGTGGTCAGATTGCCCTGGTAACTAGAGTTACGGGAACACTGAACGGGGTAATGAGATCGCGTGCTTCGATCTCAGAGTGATCAGTAAGGGATTGAAAATGAAGCTGATCGGAGTGGAAAGCAGATTCACATCCGATATCTGTGTTGATGGCGGAGGATGGGGTAAGGAACAAGTCATTTCTGTTTTCTAATTTGCCACATTTCTATAGTGGCTTAGTATTTTGACTAATGGAGCACTATTTTTGCACTCTTCATTGGGTCACTGTCGTTGATGACTCACTACTATCGATTGTTGTTCGTGAATTTTTTCCACTTAGCTATGGAGCTCTTATGATACTCTAGGATGCAATGTGAAAAGACCGTAGTGCGGTTCTAAGCAGCAAAGCTTGTAAATAATATTTCTGAGCATCGATAACTACAAACACTGGTAGATGAATCCCCGTGGATAAATGATGTGGCTGTTCTATTGAACGATGACAACTTCACTGATCCCACTCACAAAGCTGTAGTATCCCGGAACTAAACAGCGGTCAATATAACTTCAAATCTAGATGCTTCAGTATTTCACTCTGATTGTATTTGAAAATAAATCGTCAATATTTAGATCTAAAAGTTTACCTTGATCAGGGAGCATAAATTAAAAGCTCTTCTACCAGAATCACTATTTTTGAGTATGCAAAGAAAAAACAGTGCGATATTATCTATTCTGAATCGAGAGAAAAAAGCGTATTGTACGTACCACATTTGCGCGTAAGATGTACAAGCTAAGCTAGTGCTCATGAGCATTGGTCGAGCCATACGGTGGATAGCACTAAGCAAAAGGGGTCTGAATGCCCCCGCCTGACCGGCTATCGATTCATACACGTACATACACGTTACTTTCTGCTTGAAGTCTGACACATATCTGATCGCTACCTAAAGTGACCATAATCCAAAGTTATTTCTATTTGTTCTGTTTCCTTATCTTTCCGCTCCGTTTTCCTCATTCTTTGTGTATCATATGATGCACCCGGTCGGATTAGTCAGCTAAAATACCGAGGACAAGTAATTCATTTTTTAACGCATACCAATAAGGTACGAGAGCTGGACCGTATTGATCCGTAGCCCACATAAGACAACGCATGTTTGAACTTGTACGAACGAACGAACGAAACCAGGCAATACCAACACGATGCGGAACTTAGTCATTTAAATAAAGCAAACTTTTTCGGACAACGTTAGATTAATTTGTGCGTGTGTGCCTTTCTGTGTGACCAGTGCAGCTGCCCTTCACAACACAACTCGATAGGCCCCAACGACTGAACTCAGTTCGACCCATAACGGTTTATCTCTTTGAGTCAGGATGTAGAACAGTAAGTATCCGGTTCTGCACAATGTGTTCAAGGAACCGAATATCCTCTCTCTACTTTCAATCATTGTTGCCCATTATAAATTCCTTGGTTTGCGGCTCCCGTGTGTGTCTGCTCAAAGTAACACATTGTCGGGCGTCCCTGATCATAAATGATTGCACCTGCTCACCCTGGTAGCCAAGACCCTCGATCCCTAAGACTTAAACCTTTTCCAAGTGCCATGTGCCCTAAATGAACCCCCAGTGGTTCAGTCAACGAATCATCACATCTGAATGCCTAAAGGTAACCGTGAGTTAGTTAGTCAGCCAGGAAACCTGCCATTAGGTGTGGACCAGCTGCATGGTCTGCTCAGAATGATTATCTAGACATGTATTTAAACGCACACATACAGTGGGACAGCCAAAGATACAAAGGAAAGATAAAATGAGCCAGCTGACTATAGTCGGTTGGCGGCTTCGTTGAAGAGTTTTCTAACACGGGGTTTCCATCTTCTTCTTAGTTCCCAATTATGGCCGAAGATGGTAACTGGCTTATCAATGTTTCAACGTCTATACAAATTCAAGCCTTTCGGATAAGTTTCTTCATTGAGGATCGAGCAACTAACATTGGTACGGTCACTTGAATTTCCAATTAAACAGGCTTTCTTACGGATAAGCCGTAGTCTTTCGTATTTCTCCTATCATGTTTATACACACACAACATCAGGACGATGACCTCCCATGACTGTTCCGACAAAACACCACTTATACAAGATTCTCATAAATTTGAGCACATCTTTATAAGCGCGCGAGTGAGAGTGATGAATGTATTCTAAAGGAGTGGTGATAAAACACCTGCGTAACATAGATCCTCTCTTCGATACATCAAATCGATCACCACATGTTGTGGCCCCTGAGGTCAAATGGAGGTTCAAATGGACGGTGGAGAAAAGTGAGGATGCAGTTTGTGTGTGGGGGGGAAGGGTTGGATGTGACGGCGCGAAGAGGAGGGTGAGGGGGCGTTGAAGAAACGAGCGGACACAACGGGGGAATGACGACGAGCTGGTGAGGGAGACGGAGGAAGATTGAATTGTGTGCACAGCGCCAAATAGCCGTTGCTTGTTTCAGGACAGCTGTGTTTGTCGTGAATGCGTGTAACTAAGTGACAAAGATGGACAAACATTTGGGTTGTGTTAAATGGGTAACAATGAGCACTCTTTCTTATTCGGCCCGAGAGGAAAAGTAGTGAACCATTCTCCGAGGAACATGAGCAGAATCGGTCGGACCGAAACAAGAGTGATTCCAATACAACTCCGAATGAACGGAGCTATAAAGGGTAAAATAGAATCGTAGCTTGACTGGCGTTAATAGCGCTTGATTGACCACGAGCAGTTTTGACATTCAGGGTCCCTGAATGATAACGTTGAGGCTGGTCAATCTAAATTCCAGTGAACTATTTTATAATGCACTCAGCTAGAATAAGTTTGAATTTGTTATTCTTTCGGGAGGAAAAATGCTGTCATATAATTGCGGACAATCCTTATTTAAATTTGAGTTACATGTTGAAGTTTGCGTGTACATATCAAAAGAAACTTGAATTAAAATCTAGGTGGCATTGAACAGCTGTTTCTACCTGATCGGGTACCGTTAGTGCGAATCTACGGACCCAACTGTTGATCTAATCCGTGTCGTCGGATGTACACTCAAAGCGTACTACTCACTTGACCACCGGATCAAACCTCTATCACTGTGTCTGCGAATGTTTGAACTACCAGCGAGGACTAGGAATGGATTACAACAGCTATAAAGATTATTCAATACATGATGTGTAAAGTAATGTATCGAGGTAATACGGGTTCTAGTAAACATTGAGCCCCGAGTCAGCATCACTGCTTCTTATATCGAACTATCAACTGAACTGCTTAAAACAGAAACATGACCAAACTTCTCCGATGCTCCATGAGTCCAAAGAAAATTTTTCTCTACACTTTGCTTTTTTTACACCATTTACCCTCTTCAAAGATATGCTCATAAATGGCATATTTAAATGTTTATTTATAGAATGCAAACTGGTAGTCAATTTTTAGGAGGGTATCTGCGGCCAATCAGGATTGACCTGGAGAGGTGGAAGGTGAAGTGGGAGATGATTATGGTATAGGAACACAATTTCCAGGGCATTATCACACATTATGCACTTCTCGAAACACGGTATAGTGTGATAGTTTAGAAGGATATACAACCAAAATTCATGTAGAGGTGTCACCTCGGTGATCAGATAACTCCTAATACAATAACTATTTTGAATTCACTAACGTTAACAATGGAACGGTTTCACTACCTGGAGTCCGGCACATTGTCCGTCTGCTTGTCTATATTGGTGCATTCATTCCTCTTCCCCCTATACTCAACACATTTTTATGCCTGCATTCTGGTGATGATGAGAATCATTCTCTTCCCCATAGGGTACTGCAAAGTTGGAAAAGGCTGAAATCCTTCAAGCCACTGTCGACTTCATTCAAAGGCTTTACCGAGAAGGTGAGTTGGACCATTTCCCATTTCCCAATACCATTTTTTTATTACTCACTTTTGTGTGATGAACGGCAGACGGGGAAAGCCCCTTAGTTAAGAGGACCTGCTATTCAGTGATGGGAACCTGCAACCTAAGCCCCAGGACTTGGAGTGGCGAACCACATAAGGCCCCGCTAGGTTAGACGTGGTATTGAATCGAATAACAGCAAAACTACCTTCCACCAAGGTTGGTTGGTGGTCGCGGAGCTCGAACCTCGGACCACAGAGTTCAAAGCACCATGGTGACAGCGACTAAACCCTGCGCCATCACCACCACAGTTTCATTTCACTATGGTTTTCCATGAAAGGATTACGTGCATACATTTTGCTACTAGAAACAAACCGTAGGAATAGACACAAACTTGGAATCGGGATAAATTAGGAGCACCTTTCCAAATATTACAAAGGATTATTTCAACGCTCTGTAACTTCCATTTTGTTATTCTTAAGGAACATAAACAGGATTACGTCAAAGAGCTATCTAAACACTTTACGAACAGTGTGTTCCTTGCATTGTATTTCATTCTTTGCCTTTGTTCTCCCTGTTGAGAATTTGCGAGTTTACGTGTGGGCCCAAGGTTTGTTCAGTTATCGCCTTCAGAATTTTCCTTATTCCTTCCCAAGCAATACCACACTCTGTGAGAATTGTACCATACTTTATCCTACACGAAATTCAGAATGATATTCGTTTAATTCATTATACAGAGCTCATGTACATTTTATTCTATTTTATCCCTTGTTGTGTTATTTAAATTTTGGTTTCTTATTAAACCTATTTATAAACTGGAGAATCATATCAATTCAATAAAATGATCTCGGTTAAGCAGGGTAATCGTATTTTTGGTTATTTATTATGAACTAGGAATTGAAATTTACTATCAGTTAGACTATTTTTATAATTGCATGTTAATTGTGCTGTAATCTATTCATCCGACCTCCCCCCTATCGCAGATTATACACCATCAACTTTTTCCTCTTAAACAGGTCACGTACTCAGTGCCGAAGCCCGAGCCGTGGAACTTCGTCGAGCCGGTTTCAAAGACTGTTTACTTGAAGTCACTCGGTTATTATCCAGTTTTGAGAATCAGGCAACTGTACACCCAGAAGACCTGAAACGTAGCATCCTCGCACACTTGCAGCAATGTGACCAGCAACGCGACCAGGAGGCGAAAGCTTATTTGGCCCATGTGGCTGCTGTGGCCAATGCGATTGGTACACAGACAGCTGGTTCAATGAGATCAAGTTCAGCTTGTGCAAGTCAATCAATCAGTACCGCTACTACTGCAGGGGCAGGTAAGGCGGCAAAACGTACAGTTTCACATCAGCCTGTGACAACTCCCGGTTCAGATGCGAACGCAAACGGTATGAAATCCTCAACGGTAACGGCTCGCCAGTGTCCCCCAGTCACCAACTACCTATCCTACTTGAATCCACACAACGTAGATAGGATTCAGTCGTCACCCAGTCCGTATATACTTTCCGATCTCGGATCGACTGCTTCCACGTTAAGCAAAGACTCAGTTTCATCTTATGCCTATTCTCCCATGAAACGATTATCCGGCCCGGGAACAGGTTATCACCAATCGAATGGGTCGTATTATCACGCTGATTACGGCACAAATGGAGAAGCTAGCAATTACATGGAATCAACTGCTTATTCCTTCCCCAACGGTCAAACTCCATCGCAACAACATCGACATACACAGATGCTGACACAGCATCCTCCAGGAGCATCCTCACAACAGACCCAATCATTTATCCCCAGTTATTCATGTGCGAATCCCCCAGGACCGAACGAGAGTCAGTCCACTTCATCTCCACCTTTCCATTCCACTCCAGATGATACTGAAGTGGGAGTCAGTCCCAACCTGTTGGGAGGAGGCAAAATGACCAATTCAACAGAATCCTATTCTGATCCATCGATTTCGATTGGACAGGTTAAATCTGAACCCATCCCGGATGATAACCAATCCCGTGGATTTACACATACTCCAAACAAATCAGTCCAGTTTTATCCACCTTCCACTTCTTCCGGGCTGACATCTGTCAGTGCAGATCTTGTTCCCACCCCGGATCAATCTAATCATCACTTGACAGTCAAAACAGAAAAGCAATCGTGTGAAAGTGTAAGCTATCCTGCCTACCAAACCATATTTGATTCTCAATCCATAGCCCCTTATGAATCCCATGCGACTAGCTATGATAATCGTGACCTGAGTTTTAGTGTAAAACCGACCGACTGGTGTTGTACCGCAACAGAATCTAATGCAGAATTGCATAATCAAACAGCACATCAACAGCCTCCCTCACAAACACACCATTTTGGCTATGTGTATCAATGGGACTATGCATTTCAAGCGCTTTGATACAACAAAATGACCCATAACCCTTTTAATTTTGATCCGATCCCCCGAAAAAACAACATATTTTCCTCTTCCTCAAGACCCCCAATTATCCAAACTTGTACAGTCCAGTACATGTACCATGCATGTACGTTCTATTGCCAAAGATATTTTATATCCATAGGTTAAATATATGGCCAATCTTTATATTCCTACACTTTATGTTGTTTTGCATTATGGAGTCATTAGCTTTGATGTGAAATCAAGTCACCACATGCCATTCTCGACTGGGAAGTCAGAAATTGGCACTAAGGCAGATGCATCGTGAGAATCAAAGCAGGACAAACACTGAAAACTTCACCCCCTCCCGGTGAGCATCCGTTTTTTGCAGGCAGTTTAGCGCTGGCCAATGGTTAGGTCATTCTATTCTTGCATCTGGTTACAGGTCGATATCATGCGTATGACAATTACCGATTAATTTCAATGTTTACTGTAATCCATATAAAACGAAACGTGAGCTGGTGAGCTCCGTATACCTGTTTCTGCCTTTTGGAATCTAATTAGCAATGCGAATCCACAGATCAAGTTGATGTTTGAAACCGGCATCTCATAGGTGGAACGCAAACCTACTACCCACGCGTCACGCGGGCGGCTGACCTGACTGTATCTTTTTTCGAGTTGAGTTCGAAGTATTTCCGGTTGTGTTCTAATCTTTGAAGGCCAATGCTAACATTGATGGGTTTGGTTGATCCCAACTAGGCTTGCAATGCTGAATCGTACTAAATCAGGTATAAACAAAGAAAAACCAATCGGATAAACTGTCTGCTCATCAAGTAGATTTTTTATTTCTACCTACCAGGTCCCGGATTGGACTATCAATTGGGTGGATGGATTCGTACTCCTCCTAACACACTGGGCAAACTAGACACCTAACAGATGAAGCGCAAAGAGAATACCCACTTTTCTACCGAGCAGCTTGTCAAACTGCAAGAAGCAAGGTGGATGAACGCAAACAACAATGAGATTCGTCAACAGGAAATTTTTCTCACTTGTTCGGCTTTCTCTGATGATTCAGTTCGGCCAGTGTTCCGTTATATCGGGTTACATTGTGTTTTCATCATAAGACGGAGTTAGGTGACATTTCTCAGATGCTAATTGTTCTGTATGAGCAGCCAGTTCAAGTTGTATTAATAACCATTAACAGATTTCTTAGTTGGTTTATATCACTTCCTTCCCTATATGCAGGTATTCTCTACAATCTCCAGTCCATACCGGACCTAAAGATGAGTTAAAGGTCTAACAAAAGGTGACTATTTTTTCTCGCTATTTCGTCATTTGAGCCACAACAGTTCAATTGTGAATTAACTCAAATGTGTTGATTATGTACTGATGTGCGCCACGTGGCGTGGCGGATTGCCCGAGCCACAACAATTCGAAGTCGCCTTAGTCCGTTGAACGTGATAGGATGATATCAGTGTGACCGGTCATCATCGAGAACACAAAATTTACTTCGGGATATTTTTACATGAACGATTGGTTTTCACGAGGGGCAAGATAAGCGGTAGGGGGTAACATGAAAATAGCTCTAGCTTTGAGCAGATTTATATCTATCTTGTGAAACATATCAAGTTGAACCGTATCTGAAAAGACGAGGACCAAAGTGTTGACTGTTTGTTTGCTTAGTGTTCAGGTTCTCCTTGTTCTTGCATAATCTATTCAGTCAAACTTTTACTGTTTTGTCCCCAAACTCGCAGCTTGTTCTAGTTCTTGTACACACCCTGTGAACCAGTCGCGACGAAAGCTGCGAACATTATCCTATTTCCCATTGGCATTCTAATGATCAGTTTCAATTTGTGCTAAAACTTACTATAACTGATTTACTTGACTGATTTACATATCCATATTAATAGGAACTGATGGACATGTTTAATCCTGCACCAACTTGTCTCATGGATATTCACTTACATTTGACCTCAAAAATGTCATCCTAATTTGGGTACACAGATGTATCAGGGCCATTCCTGTTGCCTTGTGAGCTGGACGGGAATCATCTGGTTCTACCGGTATTCATATGTGTATAAATATTTTTCTTCATTTGTTTCACTGTGCACCCAAAAAGTGTCCATATTCGGATGATGAATCACTCCAATTGACCCGGCTAAAGTCACCTCTATTCTGGTTGATTAGTTCACTATGCCTATTTGGAAACTATTGGAGTTTGTTACTTTGACGCTAATCAGTGGTCATCGGAACATCTGGTATGGTTAAACAACTATGGTCTTTGTTATGCGAATATCCATCATACCGAGCCACTCCCGTCCCTTCGTTTTTCACTCATACAGCCCCCGATCCAATCATTGTGCACTCAGTGGTTTACGTGAAAAAGTTTTCTGCTCTTTTCTTCTCGCTCAAGTTTTGTTCTACGAACTCAGCCACCTCGGAAGATGGCAGTTACTATCCTGAATTGCGTTGCTTGATGTGGATAGGTTGTAACAAATTCTCGTGGTCGCTCACGGTGGTAGTGACTGTGTGTGTGTGTGTGTGTATGTGCATGTGTGCATGTGGCTACGTAGATGGACGGTCGAGAATGGGGATAGGGATGGGAACGCGTATCACAAATTGCATCTCTGCACCAAGGTCCCATGGCAAGCAGATGGATGACTGCCGGAATATGCGGTAGTCGGGCTGCTCAGCTGTTCATCGACCCACATTTCCCCCTTGAACTAAATCACTACTACCACCCCAATCGTACCAACACTGTCTCTGTAAGTTAGCGTTGTTTAGTTGCCGGGTGAGCTATGTGGGCTAATAATGCGACAAAACGATGCAATGTGATCACCAAAGGGTGATGGACCCGTCCAATGTTTAACGATCTAAGGAAAGTTGTTCATACGTGGGGTTTGGGTTAGGCGTTGTCTGTGTTGTGTGGGTCTGAAGTGTGTGGACTGGTACAAATGTTTGGTGGTTTCAATGGGGTTTTTATCCCGCTTTTCGATTTTAAATCTTCCTTAAGCCTTGGTCATGGAAATGGTCTATGTCGTTCGCTATTCAATGAGACTGTAACATCACTGAAAAATCTTTGATGGTTGTATCCATACACGATTAACGCCCAGATTTGTGCACAGAAGATTTTTCTTTCATATATGGCACTGTTCGTTTATTGCAAATATTTGTACCAAGTATAAGACTAAATGATTGGATTAGGTAACACACTTACATCAACGAAAGAATTCATTGGATCCAGGAAGAGGGGCACTTGAACCAGAAAGAAGGGGATCAAGAATCGGCAACAATCAATGAATTTGGACACAGGGGGCCACAACTTATCATTCTTTTTTCCATTTTACTTCATTTTATTGAATATACAAAGATACAACAATTTTTCAGGAATGGGGAAGCGGCCAAACAAAGGGCTGCCATTCAACACACAAAGGGGAAAGTCAGGCGGTGGTGGTGGGGTTAGAACACATCCCCAGGGTGGTAATTTGGTGACATTACCACCGGGCCAATACCGCCCATCGGTGTGTAACTCAAAAGAGACGATGCAACCCGTTCCAAAACAATCTTTTCATTTGCTCATCATTTGCCTTTGAAAGCCCCAGTAAAGTTGCGGTTGGGTGTCGAGGGTTGTGGCTACCGGCTTTTCCTTTGGACCTGGCAAACTGTTGCTATAAGACAAAGCGTCTTGAGTAGCCTCTGCTGAGGTAGCCCTTCACACTACCTTCACGTGATTGAGTTTTTTTCCAAACAAACTGAGAGGATATTAAGCCAACATCCGGGGCTATGACGGAGTCAGTGAAGTACTGGCAAGTCCCATCGGGAAGCTGGCTAAAATCGATGATTCCAGACCATAAAGGAAAGGCGGTCGGACCACACACACCTTAGTGGTTAAAGCAACGGTCACCCGTTCGATCAGGCTTCGGGGTGTATCCAACTCCTTGAACATTTGACACCGCCTAAAAGATGTTGCGTCGGATAAACAGGACACGAACCCCCGATGGATTGTGGCTTTGGCACACCGTTCCACTGCCTTGTGTATTCCTCAAGAAAATTTACCAGTTATGGCTTGACCCATCTGGCAGTATCCCCGTCACTAACCAATCATGAATCTTTTTCTGTTATAACGATTATTTTATCGCGATTTGTTTGATAGTCTTGGCTCAGATGCATTTGAATTATAACACGAATATACTTTCTTTTCGTTTAAAACGGACTTGAAGTTGGACAATTTAGGTTCCCTGAACGAACATATATAATGCTTAACAGCTTCAAGTTCATCTCTGTCATAACCGACGAAGAGTATTGGAGAGCTGTTCTGTCCTGCTTGAGACTCATCAGAAGTGCTCGTTCTGACCGTCGGCTCTGTAACACACGAGCAAGGGTTTTGACGAACAAACCGAATGTTTGTAGTTCACGTCTTAACAGTTTACAGGAAGTACCTACTGTTGATGAGTCCTAAATGGGACGAAACTGCCGCCCAATGCGCTTTGTCGGTCACCACATATATCTCGGTAGTAAATAAATACGGGTAACTCGTTAGATATAAACGTTCTACCAAGGGGAAAATAATGCACTAGACCAGCAACAGTGCCTGGTATTTATGAACAAACAATTGAACCAACCCAAACATGATACTATAAATTAATCTGAGCATTTTGCTGCTAAATTTAGCAGAATATTCCGTCGAAAACCATAATAAAGTCCTCCTTGACTTGGGCTACGATCTACTGAAAAAGTTTCGCACCGAACATGTGTTCCGGACTGTCACTAAATTATACACATACTCTTTGATATTTTTGATGCTTAGTAAATCAACTCGAAGTTAACAATGAAGTCTGGAACTACCAAAGTAAGAATGTGTCCATAATTATTTTTAACAGACACTCGTCCCACGATATATCCAAACACTTAACTCGTTTATTTACTTAAGACGGACCAACATGGATCCGCTGCATTTCACCCCGTTGGTCCATGTTTTCCAGTCGTAACTCAAAATTGTGAAATGTGACGAACCACACTAAATT